CATTACAGGTATCCTAACCTAATCGTTAGTAACAGTTGCCATAATACAAATATTATATAGGTAATTATCCAAATTTTCACTGTCGATGGGATTTGAACACCCAACCTACTACTTGGGGGTTGACAACCTGACCACTTCACTAGGTTGCCACACTCCTCTTACCTACCTTTGTCTACCAATAACCCTAGCTAATACTGATGAAAATATGTCATGATCACTAAGTCTTTAAAACAGTTTTTTGAAAGCTTTAACCTTGTACTAAAGCTTCCAGAATTTTCTGTATTTCATTCTTATAGCTAACCTAGTATCACTATGGCCAAGACCAATACTAGTGGTCAGAGCATATCATTAAACCACTATGCTCTTGTAAAGTTTACTCTAACCCTGGTATTAACTTTACAACATATTCTTACTACTTTGGTATTTAATTCAAGTTCTACCAAGCTGCTATTCCAAATAGCTCAGAAAGATAAATCAAAACTATACATCTTTGGTTTACATATTTGCCAGCATGTACTTTTTTTCTCCAAAACTTAGAAATTTTAGTAGTCTAATTAGTTCATCTGGTCTATTTTCAAAGACAAGCACATTTGCCTAGTTTCATAAGTTCTAGCTTCATTTCATAAGTCTAGTTTTTACAATAACACTGTCAAAAGTTCAGGTTACCTCTTTACTTGGATCTTCTAAGTAAGCTTCTGTCTTCTTTCTTTTAGTTCCTTTGATTTACATAATCATAAGGACTTATTGTAGGTTTATATTACTCAGTATCAGTTTACATTCCTTTATATAATCACAAACCTTATCCTAAAGGATAATGTTATATAACTGTTACACAAATGACATGTGATCTGCCAGTCATGCTAATGCAATACAGGTAACAGATATCTTATTCTAACCAATTGCAAGAAATAGTTAACTATAATATATAAAAGATTTTCAAATTTTCTGTCGATACTGAGATTTGAACTCTGGATCTGCCACTTGGAGGTTGACAACCTGACCATTTCACTAAGTCATTATACTTCAAATTCAGTTTTTTTTCAGCAATATAAAATTATAATATAGTAATATGTATTTGAATTATATAAAATAATTCAAATCTTTTTTATTAAACTATCTATATTATTATATTAATAATAAATATAATATATATTAATGAAAAAAGGTCCAAAGAGCTGAATAGGATCAGATGCAACATGAATTAAAATTTCTATTTTGATAACAAAAACCCTTTTTAGTATTAATAGCTGCTTTATCTTTTTAGCATATTAAAGACTTTCAAAAAAATATACAATCCCAAATATTTTAAATATTTTAATATAAAATCTCTGATTACTAATTTAGTTTAATTTGTAATAAAATTTAAAATATTATTAATTTAACAATAACTTTTGTTTATTTAATAAACTTTTCAAAAAACATATCTTTAACTTGTAATAATTATATAAAGCCAGTTATTTCTCTTTTATTGTTTTTGAAATCTCAAATAAGCTATTTATCAATATTTTAAATTACTATGTCTGCATTTTACTTTGTTATTAATTTTTTTTTTAAGTTCTTTTATAAGAACACTAAGTATTCTAAAAAAATTAAGAAGTTTGTTACTAATTCTAAAAAATATTCAAAAAAACAAAAGTTTAAATCTGTTTAAAAGCTTAATAATAATCTTAAAACATTCAAATTCTATAAAATATACAAAAAAACATAAATAAAAAACTTTTTACAAGTCAGTAAAAGATCCTTTTATTTAATTTTTAAATAGTATTATATAGAGTCTTTAAATTACAATTTGTTGCAATAAATCATTATTAGCTAATTATTATATATAGTAATTTAATAAGATTCACTTAAAAAATTTATCTTTAATCTTGATTTGCATTATAAGCTTCTTTATTTTCTTATACTATCTTCAAATATTAAAAAATAATTTAATTTTATAAGAATTAAGGTTAAAGAATTTTAAAAATCAACAAAAATAAATTAGTACTTACTTTAAACCTTTGAACAATATATAAATAATCTTTTTTAAATATTACAATTCACTAGATTAATTCTAAATAGAAGAGAAAAACTCTTATTTTTAATCTTATTTCTTTATATAAGGCTTATACTGAAGAATATCTTTGTAAGAAGATTTTTAATATTGTCAAAAAAATGAAGATAAAAAAACAATTAATTGGATTCACTAATTACAATATAGAAAATTCAATATATTAATATTTTCTTCAAAGATCCATAAATCATAATCTTAAATATTTGTGTTATATAACAAATATTATTAATCTTATAGTTAAAATAAATCAAAAATATTATCTTAATCAAATTTAAAAAGTTCAAAGTTTTGTAATAAAATAAATTCACCTTTAGTCTTGAAGAAATTAAAAAAAATTTTTAATATTTTAAATAATCATTTTATTTATCTTGTAGTTAATATTGAAGCAATATAGACTTTTATCAACTTAATATTTAAAAATCTTAATCAAATTTGATCTGTTACTGATAATCTTATCCTATCTCATTTAAATTTAAAAAATAATTACTTAAAAGTTAAGGATTAGAAAATCATAAAAGAAATTGTATAATTTTTTAAATTATTTTATATAGTAACCTTATTCTTTTCAAATAATTTATATCTTTTTTATGAGTTCTTGCAATTGATTGTTTAAGAACTTTTAATACATCTTAATTAATATCTTTATATTGATACATATCATGATGCAACTACAAAAATAAAAGATAAACTAAAAAAATATTGGATTAATTTTTGAAGTTACCTATTATCTTTATTTTTCTTGATTCATCAACAAAATTTAAAATATTTTATATAATTGATTGTAAAATAACTATTAATGAATTAAAAGATTCTTATTTATTATATAAGACAAGTAAATTAAAAACAATTACCAAGTCCAAAAATCTATTAAAAGTATTTCATAAACTTAAACAATTAAATAAAGATGAAAATAATAAAATCAAGTGAAAACAGATGAATTAAAAGTCTAACTTTCTTTATCTTATGAACAATATGTAGATTCATTATTATGGTGAAAAACAAATGCCTATCATTTTCCAATAGTAACTTGTATAGCAGCACACTACCTTGCCTTACAAGTTACAAACATGTTTTGTAAACATGTTTTTTTTGCTGCAAATGCTACTGATTTTACCAATAGTCCTTTTGAAGAAATGATTAATGTCTTATTAGTTTTGAAAAGTTGATTTAAAAGAGGAGTTATCAAATAAAAAAAATTTTTATTATTATTATTAAATAAAGTTAAATTTTATCATTATCATATCTTGTACGTACATATGTATACGTATAGTAATAGATGAAATCTACATCATTTGATATTTGAATGTGGCGTCTACTAGATAACCCATATTTAGCAAGCAAAAATACTCGTATGTGTGATGTAAAGGGTACTAGATATAGTTAAACTAAGATCAAAATCAAACATTTTTTTGTAGTAGTTAAATGTTTATTTCTGTGCGAATGATACAAACCCAAAAAAGAAGGTCAGTTAAAGTAAAGTGTGTTAACTAATTGATCTACATACTGTATAAATTGCGTTCTTAATATTTTTATAAATCATAACCATCCCCCCAAAAAAAGGGAAATCAACCTTTATTATATATTTCCTTTTTGAGTTTGTACCAATGTGAAAGAACATAAAAAATTTATTATCAATCGATTATTTTCTGGGCTTGGTTTCGGGTCTAACCAAGCCCCAGTCCATTTCCTACCATAATGACTCTATAACAACCAAATTGCAAAGTTATACAATTACTTAATTTAGTTTATTTTAAATGGTTTAATATCAACTCGAGAGCAATTTTATTATCTAATTAAAAGTTTATATATCATATTCTATTGTATTATCATCATTTTCTATTGTATTATTTGTTTCTATAGTATTATCATCATGTTCTATTGTATTATCATCATTTTCTATTGCATTATCATTATTTTCGGATCTAGAATTGGATTTCACCGTAGTAATACGTTTATCATGGTTTTCATCAATATATTTAGCAAAGTTATTAATCATTTCATTCTATTTTAAAAATTTAAATAAATAAATAATGTAAAAAATAAATTAAAGTAAAATCATATTCTAAGATTAAGACTTACTAAATCTTCGTTCCTTCGAGTAAGCAACTTAAAATAAATAAATATATATATATTACAAATATTTTTTGTTAAAAAAATGTTGAAATTTACAAATGTCTTGTTTTTTTTATTTCTCTCGTACCTTTACGTCTTCCTTCAAAATAGTGGTACGATTTGCATGACTATTTTTTAAATTACAAATAAATTTCAATGTAAATGTAAATGGAGAATAAGACAATAGAATAAATTATTTAATTTTATGAGTATTGTTCAATACTTTGCAAAATTTTCCAAATTCATCGCAGCAGTTTCTAAATCAAATCGAAAATAATAATAATAATTAAATAAAATGTTCTTAATTGGTGCATATTATAAAGAAAGAACTTTACCGGCTTGTTTATATACCAAGTCTGTGAGAACTGAAACAAATTGATGCGTTGGGATTACATTTAAATATTCAGCTTATTTATGTATGAATATTGATATATAAAGTTAATAATTTAATCACTAACGCGTCACAGGTCGATTAGCAAATAAAATACCTTCTTGTTGACAAATATCATAAACACGTTGCCATAATGTTGTTTTTAAAGACTTTCAAGAAATTTGAATAATTCAATTATTAGTAAACATAATAATGTATAGATTTTTTCTCTTTGCTTACCTGGCGCGTTTGATTATCTTTACTGCTCATTATTAAGTGATTGACAATTGACAGTAACATTCAATTTTTGATGTTTATATAATTTGATAATTTTTATTGGTTAGATAATGATTGTCAATATCTAAATCAGTAATTGCCTTATATATATTAAGCAATTAATGATATTTCTAACCATGTATAATTATATTACGCATTATCAAACTTCTTTATTACTGTATTTGTAATATTTTTTTTTGGATTTCACTCTAAGAATGTTACATGACTTTTTTTTATTTCGGATGCGTTACGCAACGATCTTTCATTTTTTTCTTGACATCGGAAAATCATTCAACATTTTTAATTTATGTAAAATAAAAAAATAAAAAATGTGACTAGTGGGAATTCCCAGATTATAGTTTATTAATGCCTTTTTTTTTTTTCTTGAGAAAATAACCGATTAAGCCGGTTTATTTGAATCAAAATTAACGACTCGGTAAAGTTTACAAGTTTTTAATCGACTACAATCATTACTTTCAGGATCGATCCAATCCTATTTCTTGTGTTTTACTTGATGCGTGATCTAGGAAGGATTGAGCTTCTTGAACACGTGCATTAAGTTGGTTGGCTGTCGCGTCAATCCATTGCAGAGATGTCAAATGCGAATTAAGGATTTTAACAACTTCATCAATCTGAAATTTTAATTTAGTGAGACACATGTTGCGTACCAACACGAAATTACTAGACTTTAATACATAGCAATATTTTATTAAAGACACAGGACAGTAGTAACATGGATTCATGAAACTTACCGGATCATCACCTGCTTCATTTATTACCTCTTCATCTTCATCTTCAGCCTGTGCAGAGGTAATAGTAGATGAAGTTGTACTACGGTTCATATCGGTAATCATGGCAGACAAAATCTGACTCATATTATCAAGCTCTTGATTAATAGATTCAGCTAATTCGTAACTGTATGAATGATTATTAAATAGAATGTAGCACATAAATAATAATCTCAAATATAAATAACCTCAATATAAATAAAAGCTTACGTTTTTTCTCTTTCTTTATCTAATGGGTTCATTGCCTCCAAACTAGGGTCACCAAATTTTTCTTCATACTCTGTCAAAACTCTTTCAAGTTCTTGCTGACGAGCCTCAACACCATTTAAGCAAGTGTTAATCTCTGCTTGAAGTGAGTCTGCTTTATTTAGTTGTTCAGCAAGTCTGGTTACCTAAGAAATTTAGATTCAGATGAATATTTTGCCTAATAATCGTGATATTGTATTTAAAAAAAAAAAACTAACTCTGCCGTTATTCTCAATAATTTTTTGATCCCATTGATTAACTTCTCTAACTTGATTGTGAAACTTTTTGGTACAATTATCCAAGTCTGTTGTCCATTTTTTAATTATGCCTTCAATATTATTATTTTTTAACCAAGATGGTATTTGATCAGATGCACTAGTTGTGGCAGTTGTTGTTGTAGTTGACGACAAAACTGGTTTCACAATAGATGCGGTAGAAGTTGCAGGTGTTGGTAATGTTGCCGTAATTATTGGCACAGTTGTCTTGGGTTGCGTAGTAGTACTTGTCTTAGGCAGCAAGAGACTTGGAGTCGAAAATGATAATGACGATGATGTTGAAGCTTGTGTAGTGGAGATTATTGATGCAGAGCTCCCTGCTGCAGAGGAAGTTACTTGAACCGGTTGTTGTAGTTGTGGTTTTGTAAAAGTGGGTAAAGGTTTTGATGTTGCTAAATAAATATTTATGTAAATAATAATTAAGTTAGAATAAGATGTGATAATGAGTGAAATAAACAAATCATACTTACAAGCTGCAGAAGGAAGTAACGAAGCACCAGTTGCGGTTGCAGTTGTATCCTTAAATAGTCCCCCAACACTAGGAACAGTAGGAGTTGAAACAGACGGCGAAAACAAATTCGGTTTGGTAGATGGAATCAACGAAGAACCCAACTTTGGAAAGAGGCTTGATCCACTCGCCGTGGTTGTGGCTGTCCCAAAAGGAGATATACCCGAAGAAGTTGTTCTTGGAACATCACTATTATTACTAATAGTAGTAGCAGCAGTGGTAGTAGTAGTAGTAGGTTGACTGTTAAATCCGATCGCTGAAAATAATCTTGATGTAGTCTGTCCTTGAGTTTGTCCTTGAGTTTGTCCTTGAGTTGTCTTTGACATTGCACCTAAATTAAAGCCACTAAAATTAGGATTTGACGTAGCACCAAATGCGGTGCCCTCCTTCTTGTTAGCATCTTGAGTAGGTTGACTTGAACCGGGTAATGTAAAACCACTTGAAGCAGTAGTGGATGGAGTACTTCCAAATCCCAAATTACTCGAAGCAGCAGTCGTTTGCGTACCTCCAAATCCAAATCCGGATTGGGTTTTCGCGCTTCCAAATAAGCCAAAATTGGATGAAGGTTCAGTTTTACTAGAACCTAAAGTAAATCCAGTAGAGGTAGTTATTGGAGCAGTTGTTACTGGAGCTTTACTGGAATCGGAATTCGGTGCTTTAAAACCAACAAAATTAGAATTGGCACCAAACAGAGACGTCGAAGTGCTTGGAGTGCCACTAGCGCCAAAACCTCCAAATGCTGGGAAGGAGGTAGCTTGATCGCCCGTTGTAGTAGTAGTTGTAGAAGTTTTATTTCCAAGTGCGAATCCTGTGGATGGCTGTTGAGCCGTTGACTGAGAAAACCCAAATGCTTGGGGCTGTGAAGTGGAATTAAAAGGAACATTTGTGGGTCTTTGGTGGCCGAATCCGAAAGTTGTTGCAGTTGTTGCAGCTGTCGCAGTTGTCGCAGTTGTAACAGAAGAAGCGTTTCCAAACAAACTGCTTCCTGTCTGTTTAAACGGATCTGAAGTCCCGGAAGAACTAATAGACCATATTGGTTTAGTATTAGTGGTATCTTGGGACTGGGTTGTAGCAGGCTGTGAAGCATTATTAAGGGAGCCGAAGCCGAAACCTTGTGGAGCATTAGCGGAGCCGAAACCAAAACCAGAAGCTTGCGTAGTATTATTATTATTATTAAAACTAAAACCAGATCCAGGAGGTTGTGAATTATTGGATCCAGTGCCGAAACCAAATCCTGCCGACGCTTTTAAAAGAGATAGTACATATTAATTAACGTGTTATAATTCAAACAAGTTTGAACGATAAAAGTTATATACTTACTCATATTTTCGTGTGAGTGTTAGCGTTAAGGGAAAAACGTCACGTCTATCATTCCACGCTAAAAACCAAAATCAACGGTCACGTGCTTAAAATCTATTCGTGGAATCTTTTGATTTTCGGAATAATTACTTCAAGTCTTCAGACGTACGTAACGTTTTTTCCGCATCTTTAGATCAGATTGATGTAAAGATCGGAACCGCTTAACCACTTATATCTTCAGGCTGAATTACGATTAGCAGTGTTGTCACTTACACTATTGATTTACTTCCAGTAATCTTTCAAGTGACAACACTGACGATTAGCGTTAGAAAAATTTCTCCCTAATTCTAACCAATCGATGCGCATCATTCAAATTTTAGCAATTTGTCAAAATGAGATTCTACTCAAACTATGTACCACTTTAGATAGCTACGCGATGTAGTCACGCTGAATCAAGAAACGGAACTGTGATATTATGTATCAGATATGTACTACTAATCAAATGTAAGATTTTTCACTCATACATCATTTCACCCTTCACTAAGAGTTTAGGAAAAATTTTTGATAATTAAAGTTCGATATTTCATATAAATATATTATTGAATAACTTCTGTTTCATTAAGCTTTTATCTTAAGCTATTTAAAGCTAATGTCCAACCTGATAAGCCGTGACAAATAGAGTTATATCTAATTGTTTATAGTACGTACATAGGTAAGCACTTTTATTTCTTACAAAACAGATTCTTCTGAATAAATTTCATTGTATGCGCCATGAATGCTGGAAAATGTTTGAGCAAATTGTCAAATGGATCAAATTGATAAAAATCGGTTTTACGGAAAATTGATTTTTATATTATTAAATTTATATTAACTCATAGGAAAATGCGGATTTCAAAAGATTATACTATAAAATTTATTAATGCAACAGCATTTTTTTAAGTAAAAAACGTTCCTGAACTAATTTTAAATTAGTTAAGTTTAAAATGTTTAATTCTCCAGAGATAACACATAATATTGGACATTGGCGAAAACTGCCAAATAATGATAATTTGATTCAACCAGCAAATTAAATAAATGTTGCGAAGCAATATAAACATAAAATAAAAACAAATAGTAATCTATAATTGAATGTTATAATTTTAATGTCATTATTGGAGTTATATTCGAAATGCGTAATAGGAATCATGATCAGAGTTGCGATCCAAATTTAAATTAAAAACCAAAATAATTTTAAACTTAGCTTTTAGATCGGAAAGACTTAGAAAAAGCAAAATTTCACTTTTTATATTACTGAATTTTATCCAATAAGATTATTGGACACGTTCAATAATTTCCCCCCAAGTTTCTATTGGTTGGGATTATTCGCACCAATTTACATGTCACTTCATTTAAAATGTGACATCTCAGTTAGGGTCTGGTGTTAGTGTTATTAGGCGGCATTATACTAAAATTTTGTAAGGAATTTTTTTTGTTAGTGCATCAAAGATTATTTCTTAGTCGAATTTTTGAGATAAATGTAACTTTACAAAAAAGAGTAATTGTTGTTTTGCTTGTCACATTACACCTGATCTTGCTCTCTGATTGGTCAAAAACAAAAAACATCATCAAACACGAATTTCACTCTAACCTAATTTACAAAGTGGGATTTCACTATTTCGCAACTCAGGTTTCATTCTATTTTTTTTTTTTTTTTTTGTTAAGGTGACCTCTTTGGTCTTTTGATTTTATTAATCACTTATTGGGTATTATGATTCAATGAACCACTACAGAAGAGTGTACAATTGGTTACACATGTAACTTTTCTATATTACCTATTTAAGGAGTCTGCCCGAAGGTTCTCTACCAATTGTTATACCTAACATTTCTGTTTGGGTATTTCATTTTAAATCTTCTGAATCTGTAACTTGTGTTAACTTACTAGGTCATACCCAAATGTTTAGATCATCATCTTAACCTTAAGACTAATTTATCCTTGAGATAAACCTTTAGAGTCTTCTGTACTCATTTTTACAGTTGACCTAAATATCATTATGTTAAAATCAACACTTATGATTAGGGTTTAACTATTAAACTATTATGTTCTTGTAGAGTTCATTTAGACCTTAGCATCTATTTTATAGTATAATCTTAATATTTTAGTATATTTCTATCTTTTCTTCTGTCTTTTTATTAAACTTTCAATTCAGATAACTTATATAGAACTATGATCAGTTCATCAGTATATTGAGTTAGTCTAATATATTTTTTTTCTAGTTCATTCTGACAGTCTGCTTGATAATACTTCTGAGACTCCCAATCCAAAGATTCTTGTCTGTTCAATTACTATGATCAAATACTAGACCTTGATATCTATTTTGCCAGACTAGTCTTTACAGTAGAATTGTTGAAGATCTAGCTATCTCTTTATTTGGGTTTTTCTAAATAGACTTCTTGTTACTTAATTTTAACAGATTTATATAGTTACAAGAACTTATTTAGTATTTGTATTACTTAATTTATCAGTTTGCATTTTTTTGTATAACTTCAATATGACACAAATGCCTTATAACCTGTCAGTTATGCTGATGTGATTGCTATTACAGATATCCTAATCTAATCATTAATAACAGTTACTATAATATAAATATTATATAAGTGATTATCCAAATTTTCACTATCAATAGGATTTGAATACCCAACTTATTACTTAGAAGATTGCCAACCTGATCACTTCACAAGGTCATCACACCTTTAGTATCATTATATTTTATTGTTTAAATAAAATTATTTTATACTAATAAATTTTTTATAAAGTTTTGAGTTAAAAGTTCTTAATTATCATCTTATTTGAGTTTATAGTGATAAATTAATATAATTACAGAATATGTTATATTATTTGTTATAATTGCAATGCCGTAACTATAATACTGTTATATCAAAGTATCATAATATTATTGTATTTAGATATTGTGCTAAAATATTATAATACTGCAATAAAATAGAATAATCTCTTTTATTATTATAAAATAATTTTAAAAATAAACTATTATATAGTAAAGAGAAGGTTGGAATTTTATATTTATTTTATTTTTTATTACTTATTATTAAATTTTAAAATACTTTTAGATTTGAATTAATTTTATTATTCAATTAAATAAAAATATTTTTATTGTTATAGTTATAACATTAGTAGAATAAATAAATAAAATATTGTAAAAAATTTTGCATACTAAAAATCTTTTGAAATAACTGTAATTGATATAAAATTATTTTGAAATAAAATATTTTTATGTAATATTATAAAAGAAACAAAATAATTTCAAAAGAATTTTGGTTATTTTACAAAAAATTTAAAAATTAATAAAACTAAAAAACAAAAATATATTTTAAAAATTATTTGAAATATTTAAAAAATATTAAAAAAACTTTAAAATATTTTGAAATATTCGAAAGATTTTTAAAATTTCTAAATAATTTTAAAATATTTTAAAAATTATAAAATAATTTTTATTGATAAATTTATTTTATTTTATTTTTTTTTTTGAATTTTGGTAACAATGCCAGTTGGTTTATTAGCTTTAATTTGATATAATACAAATTTACAGTTACATTTTTATGATCGATTATTACTAGTACTATATATTATCTAATTTTACATTACTGACTTCATTCAGTTATTCTTATAGTATCTAAATGTATATTTGCCACATGTCTGCATGCAGTTATCTTAACAACTACTTGCAATCAGAGCACAATCATTAAACTGCTACACAGACAAAAATACCTACTGAACTTAATATAATATCCCAAATGCCAGGGATATTGTCTTCTGTAAATCATATTCATATATCCTAATCATATGTTTTACCTGGTCTTGTTTCTTCTGCCTCTTAATCTAACTATATCTAGTATTACCTTGTTTCTTACATTTTTCATCTTTTTATTACTATATCACTCCCAAATTGGTCTTAGTC